TTCTTTTTTTCTTCAGTTTTTTTCGGCACTATTGAAATCGTCTGGTCCATTCGTAAAAAATAGGGGGAAAATTTTCGGAGATTTGTATTCATTACACATTCCTGAAGCTTAAAGCCACGACATTGGACAGAATCAGGAAAAAAAATTTTTTTAAATCATTTTGGAAGAGCTCCTGTAGTGTAGTTTTAATTGATTTTAAACTAGTAAAGTTAATTTTAAAACAGTAAATTACTTTACTGTTTTAAAATCGATCCCTGATTTTTACAGAGATATCTGGACTAATCTTTATTTACAAATGTCAAGTTTGAAATTGTGGTTATATTAATTAATATCTGCATATGTGTGTGTGTGTATGTATGTATTTCTTTTTCTGAGTCTTCTATCTTTTGTGGTCTTTATTAGTTTTCAGCATGTTTGAATAGTACACAACTTTTTTTAAAAATCTTTTTCGTCGGTACCTCCAATAATTCGGTATACGACCTGAGGTTTAAATGAATTTTCATAAGTGAAAAATTACTGAAAAATCTTTCTTGAAGCTTTCATTTCTTCAGCTTTCGCAAGCACATACACAAACTTTGGGGGATAATTATTTATCTTAAAAGAATAAATGGCTATATAATCATATTAATTTATGTAAATGTTCTTTCATTAATTAAAAAAAAGTGTGTATATGTATTGCTCTTTTAAGAAATATTTTGGGAAAAAATGTTTTTTTCCTATGCAGGACAACTAAGTCCAGATAACTCTGTAAAATGTCAGAGGTCGATTTTATGTATCGATATTATGAACAGGAACCAATCTGTAAAATGATTGAAAAAAATATTATTCTGACAAATGATGCTGCACCTTGAGGAAGATTTAAGGAATGTTAATTTACAAAAATTATTTCGCCCCTTAAAATTTTCCATATTTTATGAGTTGACGTCTAAGTTACTAAAAACGTACAGTGTGTAACATTTTTCCACACCATGATTTTTAAAAAGAATTTTAAACCAGTTTGGCCATCAAAATTTATTTTCGTAGTTAATTCAATATGAAGAGAAACGGTAAACTAAAAATAAATGTTATTTTGAGTAAAATTTACGTTTTTGAATCGCAATATTTTGTAATCATAACTTTCGAGTTTTAGTTGCTTGCTCTATGAACGCAGATAAAAAAAATCAAGATTTCAAATACTGATTCTCAGAATAAGCAGACAGCTCTTCACCAACTGAACTGAATCATTCTCATTCGACCTTGTGCCATACTATCTAATAAACTTTTCGCTCAGTAGTGGAATTTCTATTGACGAAGATTTTTAACAAGGGAGGTTACTCAGAATTATTAGCTAAAGAGTTATCTCAATTGATTCTAAACAAAGAAATCGTTTTATCGACTTTTTAGTGAAATATTCGAATCGCTTTGATGAAACATTGCCAATTGTTATTAATTTGTTACTAGAATTTCTTTCATCTTATCTCTGCTAGAATAACGATCTGGGAAACAATAAGGGAAATTTTTTTAAAATGTTAATTATTGCATCTTTATACATTTGATTATCCTTACCTTACCATTATTTCAAATGATTGATTTTTTTTAACTCAATTTTTTCCTGCAACTAAATAAACATTATTGACAGTTCTTACCTGATTGTTTTTTTCTACTCACAGATATTGCGAATAACAAGAAGAGAACATATAAGAAAAGAAGAGGTTTTAAGGAAGATAAGGACTACAAAGAAACTGCTGCTAAAAGTCAGAAAGTCACAGCTAACATTTTGGCGACACATAATGATGAAAGAAGGTTTGGTGAATTTAATATTTACAGGACACACTGAAGGCAAGAAATGCAGGGAAAAAATGCAGCAAGAAGACTAACTGACAAATTTTAATAAACTGATGGGAGAACAAGTAGCACAAAGATAAAGAGAAGATTGTAAAGGAGCAGGAATTACAGCAACAAAAGGCAGGAAGTTGGAGAGAGCCATGATCACTGATGTCTTGAAGAGATATGAAAGAGAGAGAGAGAGAGAGTTGTGATACTTGTTTCTTTTGAATAAATTTCTTCATCTGGTTTTATTTTTACAATATTACCTTTGAGTATGTGTTATACTTTGGATTATCAACTCTGGCTCTGAGATGGAAAAATATGTACCTTCCTTCACGTCATGTCATATCCAATGCTTGTGTTTGCATTTTTCTTTACTAAATGCCCATCCCGTACAAGGCCTAAGAGCCACTCGAGGTAGAGCCTTAATGAATGATGCTGTTGTATGGACATAAGAGGAGTAAGTACAGATTATGATTATAAGTAGAATACATGACAGTTGACCTTAGACTTGAAGTGGTTAAATTGTAGTGATTGGGGAAGTTTCCTTATGGATGCCTGTTCCACGAAGTAGCAGTTCTTGGAAAGAAGCTCTCTGAGAGGAACGTTCACTTTACCAATCTGAAGGAAATAAGAATAATTTATCTTTATGCACATGGCATGATGGGTCTTAGCTGTAAAGGTCTGAATTCATGAAACTAACGAATGTAGTTTGTCACAATTTCCATGGCAAATGTTCAGAGTAGTGATAGGCTTGTGATGTTGCGTCTGTGATACTGAAGATTTGAAAAAAACAAACTCATAGTCCATAAGGTTACGTAGGGCTGGCATTTACTGTCCCTGAATTCCCTGACCTAGATTCAGGGGTAAACTTGATTGGGAGTGCCAAGCAGTGCTTTGTAACCCTTGTTATCTTATCAACATTTGCTTAAACTAAGCATATTTGACTATTAAAAAATGAAAAATTTTCATGGATTTTGACATCATTCTTGGTTATTTATTTTTGTCTAAAGCTGTGAATTTGTTTTGTTCATGTAAAGTTTCAAAAAAACTCTGTATAAAATTCACTATTTTTTATCCATGATATTGAATGTGTTAAAATTATTCAACTTTTAAAAAGGAAAATCTCAAGTTAATGTCAGAAATTGCCGCAAAACATTGTTGATTTATTTAAGATGGAATGATCTATTATGACATGTCTCTAATTTGTATTCAGATATATTGTATTTATTTTCAATTTTTCTAGTTGAATTGTTCACTTATATTGCCACACTAATCGAGTATTATGTATGCACTAATCAAATTTTGGTATATAAAAATTTTACCACACTAATCGAATGCACATTAATCAAATGCACATTATTCTAGGGATGCCTGTATATAAAATTCATTATTTTTTATTTATAATGTTGAATGTGTTAAAATTATTCAATATTTTAGCAAGAAAAATCTCAAGTTGATGTTAAAAATTGCCACAAAACATTGTTGATTTATTTAAGATGGAAGAATCTATTATGACATATCTCTAATTTGTATTTTGATACATTGTATTTATTTTCAATTTTTCTAGTTGAATTCTTTACCTATATTGCATATGATCTATTATTGTACATAATTAGGTTACAATAAAATTTGTATTTTATATGAATACTACCTTATGAAAATTGGGTGTAATAGTATTGGTGTCCCCGTATCATAGATTGTGGGAGCACAAGACCCTTGCACTGGCCCTATATAAATGCTTTTAAACTCTGTCAAGGCTGGAAAGTGAATATTGGGCAGCTAAAATCCAGATATGGCAGCAATACTCCATTTTTTTGTCTGATCTGACTCTTGTAATGATAGAGTATGGTAGGAGGGGTTAGTTACTTTCTGGGGTGATACAAGGAACTGACCATTTTCCAGTATCTTTAGATTGTATAGTTGAGTTCCATTAGAGATCTGAGGGAGGGGGGTATACTTGAATTCCAATAAACATTCAAAGCAAGGAGTTTAATTGAGAATGCAACTGTTCCTCATGACTGTTTTGAGAACTGTCTTAATCAATGAACACTAGTAAAACAATAATCTTTGGAGACACTAACTTATTTCTTGTGTGGAATGTTCACATCTTCAATATGTCATTATTTCCTCTTCGGGTTACAAATGAATCTCACATGTAACTTGAAGAGAAAATAATGACATAATCAAAATGTTGACATTTCACACTACTTCAAATAAAAGGTTAAGAAGGAAACCCCCATCAGTACTGGAGGGAGCAATAAGAGCTACTGGACTTGAGAAACCTATTTTCATGAAAAATTGTTTTTAGGGAAAGATTTTATAAATCTCAACTGACAGTAGAACTGGCTGCTTGATCAATGAATGCCAAATGTTTCTTCCTGCAGAAATAGCTAATATTACCATTAACATTAACCCTATTCCAGGTAGGGGTACAACATTATTTTACCTGTTCATAACTTTCAGTTGATAATGTTCCTTTTGTGTTTGAAGTACTGATGTAAAACTCCAGATATGATGCTAAAATCTGTCCCTAACAAGGCCACAACATATATATTGTTTAAAATTTGGTATATTTGTTGGGAAAATTGTTCAATATTGATGATAAAATGTTTATAAATATAGGAAATGTATGCACGGGAGTCAACATCACAAAGTGACGGTCAGTTTCACAACTCAATGTGATTTTCAGACCAAGATTTGGTCTGAAGATTGTATTTTTTCTTTTTAATCATTTCACCCCAAGCAAGGCAATAAAACCACTAAAACACAAGGCAATAAAACCACTAAAACACTAAGTGTTAGAAAATATGAGAAAAATACATGATTAAGGAGTGAAGACAATAAAAGAACAACACTTAAGAAGACAAAAGATAATGATTGACATTGTATTTACACTTTTGATGATTAAAGTTGCCTGGGAAGCAAGAAGCTGAAAAAGAGTTCCACAAGTGAAAAGTGCAATAGAAGAAACTGTTAGCATAGAACTTACAGTTACATCTCACCATTTCAACTATAAAATGATGAGACCTTGCTGCCAATCTAGTACTGTGCTTTAAATTATTGAGTAATTTTAAGTAAGTACTAATTTTAATTAGTAATTTTAGTAAAATTATTAGTAATTTTAAGTAAGTACTTTGAGTTAGTATTGAGGCATGAAACTGATAGTTATCTTGCAGTATAAGTTTCTGTACATGTGCGTATCTCAATCTCTCTCTCTCTCTCTCTCTCTCTATCTATCTATCTATCTATCTATCTATCTACACTTAAAGGCGACAGTCTGTTTCATGCTAGATGCAATCGTCAGGCCATGAGTGCTGTTATTTTTCTTGGCTATTTATATATACGGGTCAGTGGTGCATTGTCGGTAGTCTATTTTGGCGGTTATTTTACCAGAATTTGTTTATTTGTTTATTTATTTATTTGGGTTAAATTATTTTACTTGTTTTTATTTATTTTTATTTTTTATTTTTATTTTTTTATTTATATTTCTTATCTTATTTATTTATTTATTTATTTATTTTTATTTTATTTTTTTTATTTAATCGATTTTGGTATCTGTTTGATTACAGAAGGCGGGTGGTTGGAAGATGTGTATATATACAGTGGTTTATCATTGGGTTTTCTGTATGGTTTATATGTACCTTTTCTTAGGTTGAAGCTAACATCTAGAAAATTTACTTCATTTAGGTTAGTTTTTATATATATGTTGAAACCGTTATTTTTGAAAATCTTTATTATTGCTTTTCTAGTTTTGTCTGTGTTTTGTTTGTTACAGTTTCTTAAGATTATGAGACCGTCGTCTCTGTAGTGTCTTGTGTCATTTCTATGTAACATTCTGCTTAGTCCGTGTAGTAAGTAAATACCTATGATTTTGCATGTCTCTGCACCATCAAAGCTTCCCATTGTAGTGTCAAATATCCCATCTTTCTTTATCCATGCTTCTTTATTGTGAAATAGTAATGATTTACGGGAGTGCGTAATGATGTCGATTTCGTTTGGTTTTATTATTATTTATTCCTGAGCTAAGTTGATGGCCTTATCTAACATGTGTTATGGATGGGTAAAATTCTTTTATGTGTAATTGTAGGAATTGGCAATTTTGTTTGTTATTTATGCTGTGGAACCAGTCAATAGTTGCTTTTGTGTTTTTCCACTGGTTTACTCCTAACTTCTTCCTAAGTTCAGAATTAATTCTTTCTAGTATCGTTTTACTTATTTTACCTAGTTCGGACAAAAAAAATAGCTATAAATGTTATATAATGATAAAAGAAAAAAAAATACTACATTACTTAAAAATCGAAAACCAAAAAGAGAAAATATACAGTATAACAAATAAATAATAAGTAAAATAAATTGATCTAAACACATCCAAATAAATAAATAAGCTAACAAACCGATCCCAATAAACTAACTGTTAGAAAAAAAACAAAAATAATCAATCCAAATAAATACATGAAGTAATAAACAAATTAAAAACTGTTCCCGCCAAACTAATAGTTAGAATAAACTACAACAATCAACCCCAAAATTGAATAAATAGCTTTATCTTCCAAAACCAAAACAAAACTATTAAATAAGTGATATAAAAATTTTTTACTACGTTAATAAAAACACCGATTAAAATAAAAAAATAAATAAACAAATAAATATATAAGATAAGAAATAAGAATAAATAAATAAATAAATAAAAACAAGCAAAATAATTTAACCCAAATAAATAAATAAACAAATAAACGACTTCTGGTAAAATAACTGCTAAAATAGACTACGTGCAATGCACCACTGACCCATATACATAAATAGCCGAGAAAAATAACAGCTCTCATGGCCTGACAATTGCCTCTAGCATGAAACACTGTCGCCTCTAAGTGTTGACTTCTATGTTCACTTTTATATTTACACACGCTCTATCTCTGATATTGAGCACTTTATCCCATAAATATAGCACATCTTAAGACTATATTTCTTCCTATATATATATATATATATATATATATATATATACACATACAGTGTGTGATGGATAAATTGTATAAATTACACAAAAACTAAAATAACACTGACATCTCATTTTAACAGATATATTTACCAAAATTATACAAAAATATTTTGAAATACTAAAGAATAAATTTATTCCATAAAATAGCCCCTGGCTTCAACCATGGCCTCCAGACGACTTTGGAATTCCCTGCATCACTTCTAGGTGGTCTCCTTGTTTAAGATGGTGAATGCTGCCATAATCCTTGCCTTCAGTTCATCTTTGGTATTACAAGGAGTTTTTTTGGTCTCTTGCTCAACTATGCCCCACACATGATAATCAAGGGGGGTTACATCTACCTCCTCAGACTGCAACCCCCTATATATATATAGGAAGAAATATAGTCTTAAGATGTGCTATATTTATGGGATAAAGTGCTCAATATCAGAGATAGAGCGTGTGTAAATATAAAAGTGAACATAGAAGTCAACACTTAGAGGCGACAGGGCAGCACAACCTCTTCAAAGCACTTGATGTACGCCTTTGTGTTGAGCCTGAGGCCCTCACCAACAAATTTGGGAGTTCTTTTCTTATCAGAATGAGTTTTCTGAGTTGCCATACCTTTCTAAACACCATTAGACTCATCCAACACTTTCTTCTGCACTATCCCCAGATTGACACCCAAACACTCTGAAATGTTTGTATTGGAGATTTCAGCACGAATACTAAGCAGTACAGCATGCTGCTTATCAGTTTCTGGCAGAGTGAATTGCATCATGGTGAATTTTTTCTCACAGACAGTTCCCAACTGACTCTACTATACTGAGTAGTCAACAAAATCCAAAACAAACAACACACAAGCACAAAATTAATAAATATAAAATGGTGACAATTTATACCTCACACTCTGTATATTTTTTTAAAAAACTTTTCACCGCTAGCAAGGCGGGAGTGCCACTAGCACTCAAGGTGTTAGAGAAAGTGGAAACAAGAGTAAAGAGGTGTGAAAGAGGAAAGGATGAAGAGAAGGACAGGGAATAGATCAAGACATCTGGAGATGTCAATTGACATTGCATTTGAATAGTTGTAGATTAAAGTTATCAGGGAAGCAAGTAAGAGGAAAGGAGTTCCACAGCCAGGAAGTGCAAGACATGAAGCTGTTGGATTAGAAGAGACATCTACATTTAATCATTTTGACAGTGAAAGGGTGGGACTGACCTAGTGGCATGTTTAAATTCATGCAGTTTGGGAACTAGCGAAAATAGCTTGTCAGAGCAGTTACCATGAAAGTATTTGTAGAAAAAACACAGGGAGGCAACGGCATGTCTGTGAGAGAGCAACTGTAAACGAGATGCCAGATCAGGACTCTAAGATGATCAATGGGGGCTCTAGACCATATATGACAGCAGTTCCAATATTTGTGTATATATATACCCAAGTATATAATTGGTGTATACGGAATGAATTCCAATAACGAACAATTACTATTCTTAAAAGAGTGCTCAATACAAAGTAGAGCAGATATAATTATTAAAAAAAAAAAAAATTTATAACATAAATATGTTATAAAATCACTACAAAAATAGCCATTTTGTTTCAACACCCTTGGTGTCTTATCAAATAATATATATATATATATATATATATATATATATATATCATACCATGGTGAAATACAATTATCATTTTATTTTGTTGTCTTCCTCCCCAATGGATTAATCTATATAGTAAAAGATTTGTTTAATAAACAAATGTATCGCATTTCTATTAAATTTAAACAGAACCTTTTAATATTTGATCAAGTTACTAATCATTGGGGTGAATGAATAACTGATGTTCTTGTTTAATAAATGATTATAATGCATTTCTGTAGTAAATAATTTCCAGTGAATTTCAATGGAGGCTTTCAATATTTACTCTGCCACGAATCATTATTATGAATGAAACTTATAGTTATAGGAATAATGGATAAGAGTTATCTCCCCTGAGAAGAACTCTTCCTTCCTAAAGTAGAAATGGCACACTCATTTTCAGTTCAGCTATAACATGACACTTTAGTCGATCATGGGTCAATCCCTGTCAGCAGTAACCAGATGATATGATCCTTGTCACACACTGCCTATACCAGAAGATCAGTTGGTCCTCAGAGTCATAGGAAAATGAGTTGATTGTAGGGTCAATTCCACACTTTGTTGATACTGTCACTGGTTGATGGTGTTGCTGGTCAATGAGTCGTGAGTCACAGGCCACCTCAGTTCACACTTTGCTCTGCCAATGTTGTGTTTCTTAATCACAGAGTTGGTAAGGATCAAGTATCTTCAGTAATTGTAGTGTTTGAAGCAGTGTTATGAAGGAAAAAATAGAATTGTTCTTATAGACAAAAACAAAAAATTCTTTGGGTTATTTTCAATTTCCTTTATGTCATTCTTCATATAACAAAATTAATCATTCCCACTAAGTTCTCTATAGTGACACTTTGCCTATCAGTGCTAATTCTTGGAACAGGGCTCAAAGTTGGGGGTTCTCTTGGTAGTAGGTCACATCAATCTAAGTAGCACTTTCGTCTGCTCTTCGCCACTGTCTCTTATCTCTCTCTGCCTAGGGTCACCTAATTGCTCTGCTTATATTGATTTCAACTTGAGACCAGAGTGGGGGATGATGGTGTTTGGGAATTTGAGGGTTCCCCAGGTTTCTGTATCAATTTGATTTCTTGTCTGGTTTGCAATATTAATTATCTCTCCAAATTTGGGAGGTATCTTCTTCCGACTTAGATATTGTCCCACCTATGTAACTCATTCCTTTTCTTATTTATGCCTCACACCATTACTTCAAGATGGGAAAAGGTAATTCCTCTTTTTCTCTTAGTATCTCATCTAAGCCCACTGCTTTATCTGTCTCTTTGACAAATCATTTTTAAACCAAGTGGCAAAAGGGCGGTTTTAACTTTTAGTCATTAATTGCAATTATCTTAATTTTCAACAACAGTTTTCTCAGCCTTGGCCTTGTTTATGCAATCAGAGATTTACCAGCTGTTTTTTTTTCAACCTGCTATTAGCAAATATTTGTCTTCATATCTTTTTCTCTTAATTGTACTTACAGGTTCATTTTTTATCTTGATTTCTTCAAGCAAAGGATAAAAATCCTATCTCTCAATTTGTTTACATTTTCCAAAATTGGCAAAGCTATTTCCACTCTTTAACAGGCAGGCTTAAATCAGTTTCTCAATTCTGCTTTTGTCTTCAAAATTACCAAATATTATAACTCAACTGATTCCTTCTTTCGTCTGGCAATCATGAG